CTTCTGTGGTCCCAATGTGGTCAACCACTTCTACTGTGACCTCCCACCCCTTTTTCAACTCTCCTGCTCCAGCATTCACCTCAATGGACAGTTGCTTTTTGCTGGGGCCACCTTCATGGGGGTGGTCCCTATGATCCTCATCTCGGTGTCCTATGCCCATGTTGCAGCTGCTGTTCTACGAATCCACTCAGCTGAGGGCAGGAAGAAAGCATTCTCCACTTGTGGCTCCCATCTCACTGTGGTCTGCATCTTTTATGGAACTGGCTTCTTCAGTTACATGCGTCTGGGCTCAGTCTCAGCCTCGGACAAAGACAAGGGGATTGGCGTCCTCAATACCATCCTCAGCCCCATGCTCAACCCAGTCATCTACAGCCTCCGGAACCCTGATGTACAGGGAGCCCTGAAGAGGGTGCTCACAGGGAAGAAGCCCCCAGAATGAGAAAGCAAGGATATCAAAGCATCCCTCCTCCTTAAGTATCCCCCCAAAGCTTTCTTATGCTGAAGGCCTGAGTATGGGCAGGGGAATTTCAGGGTGGGGTTGAGGGATGCAAGGAAAGTAGATGGTATGATCCAACGTAGAATATAATTTGCCTTCAACTGAAGAGAAAGGCTAAAGCTTGGTTGAGAAAGTGTCTAAGTCTCTGATAGAAAGTGGAACAAGGAGGACAAAACCAAAACCATCAAGAAATAGAGACAGAAACTATTTTGTATTTTTAAATTCAATGACTGTTTAATTAAAGTATATTTAAAATGTTAATGAAAACAAAATCCTTGGCTTCCTTTTTAAGACAAATTATATTTATGTCAGAGTATTTATTGTCTACTTGAAAAAAAAAGAAAAAAAAAAGATTAAGATTCTTCTTCAAAAACTAAGATTAATGAAATTAAATTGGTACTGAACATATCCTAGGAGCAGGGTGTTGGTGGTTGTCAGAGAAGCCCGCCAGCATGTTCCGTCAGAGCTACATTATCAAACAGCTATTCTCCACACCGCTGCTCCTCTCCTGACCCATCAGTGGGAAAGACAAATTGACAAGCCTGTGCATGAACTGAATCTCACAACCCTCCAGCCAAAACACACAAAACATAGCATCATATTTTATGAGCATACGCACTGAAAAATAGTCAGCTTTGAGGGGTTTTTTTAATGGCAAAACATACTGATTGACACCTGTTTAATATACACGTACAAGTATAGCAAGGATTGTGAGGATGGTGCGCGACCAGGCTGTGTTTCGTTCCGTTGTATGTAGGGCCACTATGAGTCAGAGCTGACTCGATGACCTCTTACAACCCAACAACAGGTAATGAGAAAAGACAAAGAGA